GCTATTTATTATCCTTTAATAAATTATTATTATTTTTGTGTGTGTGAAACCAGTGTTGATGTTTTAGTTTCCCAGGAAACAGAGCCCCAGACAAAGATTTGTGTGTAAGAGGTTTGAGGGGATTGTCCTCGGAACCAACATCTGTGAAAAGAGAAGAATGCAGCAGAGGGCAGAGAGAGAACTTGAACTGTGATCAAGTTCCAGCAGAATCCTCATTTGATCTGATGGGCACCCTAGAGCTGAGAGGTCCTTCAGAGTTTCCCTGGATGAGTAAGAGGGATGAGGATTCTTTTTTACCCTGATCCCACCCCTGGTCTTTGAATACAGGTTGTCACAAAGAGGCATGTCCTTGGATGAGGTGATTCTCTTAGCCTGAGAGCCATCCCTGATCAGAGATGCAGTTGAGACCAGAAAGCCACCAGTCTCCAAGACAAACTTTACAGTTGACAAACCCATGACTCCTCTGGAGTCTAACAGTCTAACAGATTCAACAGATCATGTTCTTCATAGTTTGAATAAGAAACTGAAGCTCATAAATATTAAATAAACTGCTAAAAAGATAAAACTCAAACCTTAGTCTCCAAATTCCATGTCTTCGCCTGCAACCATATTGAAAGTTGCAGAGAACAAACCAATTTATGGACAGGCAAGCTGTCCAAGCTCTTGAATAGGGTCTGAGTGGTTTTAAAATTTTGAGGCATATCACGTTTAGATTTTTCCTCAAGAGATCTCAAATTTAGCTAGGATTTGGGGGCAATGGATTCCATTTGTGGAGGAATGTTACCCTATTCTTTGGGGACCGAGGAGGAAGCCAACAATAATCTAAGCCCCTGCCAGACATTATCTGCTGACCCCAGGCATCTATCCCTGCCCTCATTAATGTTCCCCCACCGGGTCTGGAAGCCAGCTAGGGTTCTGGGTGAGACTTGAGTTCCACCTGTGAAATGCACTTCCATGATATTGGGAAGGCAGAAGAAAGACCTTTCTTATAGGTATGGGACCTTTCTTATAGGTATGTTATGGGCAAGTTAGTCCAATGAAAGCAAGGAATGGCATCCACATCCACTCCCTGTCACCAACGTCTGGAACAGAGGTGGCAGTAGCAGCAGGTTTGCTGATCCCCCTTGGGCAGCTGCTATCCCCTGATTTCTACTCCTCTGGCCCTTCCAAAAATTTTGTAAGCACTTAATTTCCTGGATTAAGCCATTCTCTTTTTTGATTGAAATATTTGTAATGATTTTATTTTGCCCTTGCTGAACCCGATATAGCAACCCAAGCGTGAAGCCAGCCAGCCAGTGTCTCCACTTTCCACACCCACACACCCACACATGACACACTGTCTTGTGTCTTGATCATGTCTGCTTTCCCTTCTGCCCCTGTTTCCCTCCCCCACCTATCCCCTTCCCCTTCTCTGGTAGTTCCCCTTCTGATTGCTTCTTGTCTTGCTGTATGGATTCTAATTTTCAACCTTTGTGACCATGATACTTGGTCCCAGCATAGATACATCCTATACCTTTTTGATTCAACATCCTAATGTCATGGAGAGACAAGGTATGAAATCCTATCAGGATTGCTGGGTCAACAAGAAGCTTCTAAAATAAAGAAGATGAGCAGAAGCCCATGACCATTGGCAATTGACCAAGTGTTAGCCAAAGTTGGAGATACCAGTTACCAAAAGAACAGTTTATGGGTGCCGTGAATCCCATCCTCATGGAATGTTAAAAAAAAAGGCAGTGAACTTGTGGAAATCGAGCCACTTAGATTTATAGCCATAAAAAACTATAGGACTCTTTAAACAGAGATGTCATTTATAGACAATAATACTTAAGAAAAGTATTTTACTCTGTGCATTCAAGCATGAAATAAATATTCAAGGACATTCAGCCCACAAATGCAGAAATGGGGACTCAGAAGATGTTATAAAGCTATTTAGTTGAACCACATACAACGTAAGAAGGGATTGGAGTAATGGGCAGGCACCTCCATTTTTAACAAGAATCACTGTAATATCCAATTTCTATTTCATGAGTCTGTTTCCATGTTCCAGGCAACAGCTGGTCCCACTTTATTGCTATGGGTACAATGAGTTCTAGTAAATCCTGTGTAATAGATGTATTCATATGCTCCATCCTTTTAACAATCTTCTTAATTAGGGTGCTGTCCTTTTAAGTAAAGCATTTATGTAGTTACTTTATTGCATTTGAATACAGTGTTAGCTTCAATAGACTTAATATAATTTTATGGGTTTTTAAAAAATTGTTTTACAATGAAGGGATTTTATTTTATGATTGGTATGGAGTTATTCCCATGGACATTTAAGAGCCATTGATGCAGAGCCTTATGAAATGCTGTCGAAAAGGAAAAATCCTAAAGATGTGGTAGGTGGTGGTGTTTCCGCCATTTATTGGCTTAACTTCTGAGAGCCTCAATTTCCTTATCTGTAAAGTGAGATCGTTATCTTTCTTGCCTACTTCATGGAGCAATTGGGAACATTAGATAAAAAATAATGATCCATAAAAGGGCTTTATAAAGTTCCAAGAGTTCTGTGCATTTCCAGAGTTGTTGTTCTCCATGTGGAAGCTCCTGTCTTCAAGCCACGTAGAAATGTCACTGGAGCATGAGTGTCAGAGGCAATGGGATAGACTTAGCCTTTCGGGATGTATGGATGATGGAGAACAGAGAGAAACTGGGGATTTAGAAAAGATAATGGTCATAAAGGGAGATGAGAGTCCCAGGCATTTTGGAGATGAAGGAAGAAGATCAGGAACAACAGAGGACCTGATGTGGATTAATCAGGGTGTGAGCTGCAGGCACCTGCTGACATTCTGATTACCTAACTCTGTGCCTCCTCTTCATGATACCAACTTCTTGTCCCAGCCGCTGCCCATTCAGCCTTGCCCAAGACTTCAGAAATGAATGCTCTGGAGTGTCCTCTGTAACCTAGAGTGCTAGTGTTCCGTTTATTGGGATCCAATGTCCTAATCTCCTTGTAAACATAGATGAAATAGAACTTGAATAAGACCTGGTTTCAGTTATCCGTGCACAATGCAGTTAGTTATGTCCTCGTTCTTCTTTCTCATTATACATCATAGAGCCAAAGGAATATTCGTTATCTTTAAAATCATGGAGGGAAATCTATTGTGTTGTCCATGATATGTTCAATTAAAAAAAATCAAGTATGTCAAGCCAGTATTTTACCTACTTCTTTTAAGTATATCAAAGTTTCAGGGTATTCTAAAGAATATAGGCTTAAAGGCAGTAGTAGAGTTAAAAAACATTACCATGCTCAGAGTCAGAAAACATAGGTGTGAATCCTACTGTAACCTTAGGTTGGAAAGTTTGAATAAGTTACTCTATTCACTGGGCCTCAGTTTTCCAGGCTCTTAAAATGGGATGGTAGCATCTACTTCATAAGGCAAGGAGCAAATGTGATAATGCAGATGAAGGAGCTTTGTAAAATTAATGTTACTTTATTAATGTTAACTGTTGGTCCCCCTCCAGCACCAGCAGGCACTCAGCCAGTGGCTGGTTTCAGCTGATAGAAAATATGTTTTCACATTATTGCTTAACATTTCCTTCACCTTGCACTGAATGAAAGGAAATCTTTGGTTTTAGCTCTGGACTTCAGCAGGCCAATGTTTCTTTATTAGGTGGTATGGTCATGGAGAAATATCATTATTTATTGGTATCTCATTGACATTAAAAAATCTCAAATATATTATTACCTCAAACACTGACTTAACAGACTTCTTAGCTGCATAGCAAGGAGGTTGGCAGCCATTCTTTCCTTCTTGGCTTCCCTTCCATCCTCTCTAGTTTGAATATTTAATTTAATGGTGGCCATGCCCTTCGTGACTGACCTTGCAATTAAAGATCAAAACACAGAGTCTTACTGCCAATTTCACGTCCATCTAACAGATGTTTGGATATGCAAGCTTTCATATACCCCAATATGATCCTGAGAATCTGCACCAGAGGAAGAGCACAGAAAATCTGGAATAGTCTTTTACCTCCTTGTGAGAGGAGCACCCAAGCACTACAGCAAAACATAAAGGCCAAGTGATTTTCCACATCACAGTCCTGCTGACTCTCAGGACCATCTGCCTGCGTAAATCCAAAGCTGAAGTCAGGGTATTTCCTTTCACCCAGTTCAAGGTGAAGAAAATGTTAAACAATAATGTGAAAACATATTTTCTATCAAATGAAAACTGTCTCTTGAGGGTGGTGGGGGACCAATAGCTGACACCACTTTTTCTTGTCCATGTTTTGAATGAATTGAGAAATAAAATAATGGGTTAAGGCAGGTAGAGAACCAAAACAGCACTTTTATTATTGATAATGCTGACCTGACTGCCAGGCATGGTCACAAACACATAGTCCCAGTCACTCATGACACCAAAGCAGAAGAATCGCTTGAGCTCAAAAGCTTGAAATCAGCTTGGGCAACACAGCAAGACCTCATTTCAAACCAAACAAACACAAACAGAACACCACGATCAACTCCAAGTGCCTTCCTAAGACTTTCTAAGATTTAAGAACAAGCCTTACATGAACCGACAAGCAGACCTCCTATTAGGGACATATCCAGTCACGACTGGGCCTCCCCTGCAGGTTTCTCCCACATATGAGAGCAAGGATGACCTATGTTCTCTGCAGGTGGACTCACTCCAAAGAGAAAAGGCAGAAAAAGGCATTCCACAGTGCATGCCCCCGTCCTCTTTCCCAGTTCATCCTGAGGAAGAACCAGGAGTAGAAAGCTGAGAAAAGCCAAGGATATTTTGCTAGCGGAAGTCCCTCTGCATAGATGGAAACTTTTCTTTCATCTTGAAAGTCAGCTTCTGTAAGAGCAGTTAACTCTGAAAGTCCACAAGAGGCAGCAATTGTGCTTCTCCAGACTGACAACTGATATAGAACATCCATATTTGAAGAATGCTTATATATTGCAAAATATTTGGCTGCCACATGTTTCCTCTCTCTTCTTACAATGCTTTCTCCTCCAGGCTATCTACCCTGCTCATTATAAATCCATCCATCAACCCAAGCCCAGGAAGACAATAGTTGAAGAGCAGTTGGAAAGGGAGGGATTGAGTGATGGCCGGTTTCCAGATCAGAGTCAACACTGCGAAACACTTTGCAAGATGGCATGTATGTTCCTTTCTCTCCCTCAGCGTAGATTATTTCTTAGTGTTCCTGATTCTGCTGGCAGGAATCCTGTTTAATTCAGGAAAACCATATGAAATCCATCTTGGGGGTTGCCAAAATAAATTGTTAATCATATCAGATGTAGCACCAAAAGAGTGTTCCATCACAGTCAATTTTCTGTTTGGTTACTGCTCCCCTTTGCTTCATTCAGGATCTGCCAAGAGGAGAGGAAGCCCATATTACACATCCACATCTTGTTATCTGCCCAAGGAGAGAGAACAGAGGGGGAACGGATTGTGGGGTCAGGATGAGGGGACTCTTAACGCTAACAAAAGATGTTTATTATAGTCCAATTTCAAATATCCCTCTGGGGACATTAAGAGGTTGGAATCCTCAACAGAAAGAGGGTATGAGAATCTCATGGAGATTCATTTGTACAGAGTGGGGATGATCAACAGAATTTGTACCTGCATGTTTCAGTTGGTTTCCTTAGATGCAAAAGACATATAAGATGACTGCAATTGCTTCCATTATCAAGTTCAATTAAATGGAACAAAACTTACTTGTGCATTTAGTTATCTGGATGGTTATACATTTCTCAGTTACAGAAGAAAGATAGAAACATAAATGGTAACCAGGGAAGTAATGAGATTATTATTATTTAAAAATATTTATTTTTTAGTTGTAGTTGGACACGATACCTTTATTTCACTTATTTATTTTTATATGGTGCTGAGGATCAAACCCAGGGTCTCATCCGTGCGAGGCGAGCACTCTACCACTGAGCCACAACTCCAGCCCTGAGATTATTTTTAATTGAACAAAAACCAATAGATAAGCAATAATCCAAATCTGTCCTAAGGCAGATCACATCAACACATATAACCTAATCATAATAGATCCTTGGAAACAGATTAAATTCCTTTGAATTGAATCTGCATCCCCTCCATATTTATACTATTGTACAGGTGTTAAAATGAGCATGCTTGAGGGCTATGCAGATCATGAACAATTGTTACAGTATAGGACTTTTGTATTTCCCTGAACTAGAAACAGACTGACATGATTAAAACAAGTAAGAGACTTTGTCCAGGCCTCAGATACTCAACAAATTCAGCATCCCTTTTGACCTCCATTTAACCAAAGTTCAACTGCTTTGCTATGCTAGAAATACAAGCAGGTCGGTTATGGTGTCTCCACCCACCTACTTCTGGATGTGCATTTTGATTTCAGTCTTAATAAAGAAAGTCCTGCTCACTAAGCTTCATCACCATGACTCACTGAAGCAGCCATGTATGCATGCTGATTTGTTCTGATTTAGATTTCTCATCGCTCTTCTGAATTTGGAAATGCATCCCACCTGAGCAGGGATCATGAATCCAAATCTAAAGTAGAACTACATTATTAGAAAATTTCTGACATCCCACAAAGTCGCCTAAATTTGATGGCATGTTGGAGACACGACACCCATAGATGGTTAGTTGTGGTATGAGGAGGAATTTATTTAGCAAGGCCTAAAGGAAAATGGATCCCACCAAGGCAATGTGGATACCATTTCCAGCCTGAAGCTTCTACACATGAAGTTTTAATCCACAGGTTAGGATTTGGCAATGGTATTTCCTTTCACGTGTTTGTGAAGGAGGCTGATTATGTATGCATGCAGACACACACATGCTGGGGAGAGAAAGCACACCATTTTTTGTGTGTGTGCGTGTGTGTGTGTAGAAGTTGAAATCAAGCTGGCTCTGAAATAGGCGAGTTTTTATTATCTCCAGGTGCTGGACAATCCTCAGCATGTCAGAAATGAAATAAAAATAAAAAATAAAAGCTCCTGTGGGTAATGAAGGAATTTTCAGAGCTGAAATGATTGGACTGTGAGACCTGAAACCTAACTAGTTCATCCTTTTATGAATGGACTGACTGCATGGTAACTATAGGCAGGTCAGGCATGGCTGGAAGAGGTGTTCACTTGGGGTGTGCCCAGAAAGGGTGCATCTTCCCTGCAGCCCTTCCCCTCACTCTCTCCCTGCTTCTGAGTTGCCATGAGTGGACTGATTCGCCTCTATGCCCTTCCGCCATAATGTGCTGCCTCACCTTTGGCCCACAGCAATGGAGTCTGCTAACCACGGAACAAGACCTCTGGAACCATGAGCCCATATAAACTTTTCCTCCTCTAAATTGTTCTTGTTGGGTATTTTGGTCACAGCAACAAAAAGCTGACTAACACATGTATCACATATTGAAAAAAATACTGCTTTTAAAAAAAAATGACATGCTGTACCTATGCTGAATAATTTTCTCATGGACAGTTTTCCATGAGTGTGCCACTGTTATAATGTTCTATTCATTGGATTTTTTTATGTCTTACTAATACTATATTTCAGCAAATAAAAAAAAAAGAATTGGTTCTTTGGAAAAAAAGAGGCATTTCCTGTGGCATCCCCAAGTTTAAGAAGCATATGGTGTAGTGGTTAGAAGCATGGGCTCTGCAGTTCATTTCTTGTCAAACTCTGGTTTAGCCACTCAGCCACATGCCTTTGGAGGCAAGGCGCAGTTCCTCCTCTGTCAGTGGGATAATAAAAGATCCTACCCTAACGTGTCATAGACAACCTAAGGTTGTCATAGACGTTAACAAATTACATGGTTGCGGACACAAAGGAAGCTCTAGATCAGTCCCCATTGTTCTTATTTCCAGAAGCCTTCAGAAGGATTTAACCTTGACTGTGGACGTGATGTTGCTGTCCAATATGTCTCACCACATTTGAAAGTTAAGATGAGAGATTCTTTTCTGTTTCAGGCTCTTAGCAGCTACAGAAGCAAGAAATTGGCTATAAACCCCTGAAAATGGGAGCAAGGACTCTTCTATTTGAAAGTAAGTGATTAATATTTTTGAACCTAGGCCCAGCTCCCCGAATCTCTTAGTTATCACATCAGTTTTCTAGGGCTGACCTAACAAACGGCCACAAATTGGGCTCCTTAAAACAATAGAAATGCATTCTCTTGCAGTTAAGGAGGCTAGAAATCTGAAAGTGAGGTGTTGGCCGGGCCCTGGGTCCTCCAGAGGCTTTGAAGGTGTCTTGAAGGTCCTCTTGCCTCTCCCAGCTTCCAGTGGCTCCAGGCATCCTTGGTGTCCCTTGGCTTGTGGTCTCATCACCCTGAACTCAGCTCTCAGCATTCCCTTCTTCCTTGTGTGTCTCTGTGTCCTCACTGCGGTTATGGCCCCTGCTAAGTCAGTATGACCTCACATTAACTTGAGGAATTACATATGCAAAACCCTGCTTTCAGATAGGTCATAGTTGAAGTCTGGGTGGACATCATTTGAGGAGGGGGTTTTGCCCAACCCACTAGAGTTTTTTATAATCATATTTTCCCAGCTCCCCAACTCTAGCTTCTTCTGGCCACAATTATCATTTACTTACTCATCCTCTGACATTGGCTTCCTCTCTGTCCCTCTTGCTCTTGGATGTGCCTTAAGGCATAGCTCCCTCTGCAAGAGAAAAGCTTCCAAAGTCCAGTTCTTGATGGCTTCACCTCTTGCTTGGCAAAAGCAGAACATCAGTGAATAATTCTTTGCATTGGGGTTATGCTTTGCCGTTTGGAACACTTTTCACTGGAAAGTGCAATATTTTCTCTCAGCAAATACATTTCCAGTTGTACACAGCTGGTTTACAGACTATTTTTAGGAACGCCATCAGCTCCAAGTCATGGCTTGCCTGCATGGTTAATGCAACATCACGCAGGGTTTTAGATTATCATCAGATCCACAGTGGGACTCCAGCCTCAGCATCATCTCTCCACATATTACAGTCTGTTTGAATTTTAAGAAATTAATATCACCAAATATAAAAAGTTTACTTTGGACAAACTAATAAAGTAAATTCCATTTGTTAGACAAGATTCTAACTTACCAGAAATAATTGCATATTACATTTCTTAGTGTGAATTTTTTGAAAATCAGAACCTGGGTCAAGGTCTCAGGTCCAGGTGGTTGGTTAGGGAGGTGATCCCAGCAAACAGGCTTGAGTGAGTACAGAGAATGAGAGGAACCGGCAGAAGGAGAAGCCAGAAGGAGGTTGCATAGTCTGGGTCTAGGTCCCCACAACAGGCAACAGAGGCTGGGTTCTCCAGGACTTTGGAAAAGTGTGGCAATAACCTCTACAAAATTATCCTCCTAAAAGTGGGAGCTGGAGCTTCCTCTAGCTTCCTCCCTGATCCAGTGAGGACTGCTTCTGGGGAACTTAGCTACCTCACAGGCTTTACTCTGTGCCTACCTGGGAAAGATGTTTCAGCAGAATGTTCTCACCATGGGGTGCCGGCAGTACGCCAGACAACCACATGGAACTGTCCCCACAGTTTCTGTCTGCAGAAGTGTGCTGAGACAAGGGGACATGGGCACCAGAGACAGCTGCTACATTAGAATTCCTTTTTTGTATATAGCATCCTCCTTTTAGTCACCATCTGAAATGTAGATGCCCTATGAATGAGGAATGGCATACTGTATATTTCTGTTACAAGTAGTATATAATTGAGGCATTGTGACCTGAACATAATTGGTGGGACATTAAACTAGTTAGCCTGCTTTAGGCTGCAGGTACAAGGAGACCCCTGTCAAGATGGTGTCAAGGGGAGGCTGGAGTTGGCTATGGCACCCTGTGCTGTGAGACACTAACCCCCTTAGCCTGCGGCAGCCAGCTGCAATCCTGGGGCAGGTTGTCTCCTGCTACAAGCCTCTCTTCAGGGCTCCTCATTGGGTGGCCCAAGTGGACACAGTTTCTAGAGGTACACAATGACATGCCGAGTGCAGCCAAAATAGTCTACCACCAGACCTCAACTTCTTTAGGGAAGCTTCTGGAAATGTTTATGTTCTAGGTGCCCCCAAAACATGGTATCTAAGAGCAAGGGAGGTGAGTGAGAGCAATGTAGGGGCTTCAGGAAGGCACAATTCCACCTGGTGACTCTAACATTTTTCTTTGTATTAGATACTTCTGCCCATTTGTAGCTGCTATTACCATTTAGTGGTATTCAAGCTAGCTGTAGGGTGCTTATTTTAACAGTGTATCTATAAATTAAAACTTTGCATTGTTTTGAAATATTTGATAGGAAAAATTACATTAGATGAGAGATCCATTTGAATTCATACAAGAAATTTCAGCATTAAATTGTTAACAAGAGAAAATGAGCTGTTGAACTTGTCAAATATAATTTCAACTATGATATTCTTAAATAGTTTTTAAAAGGTTTTAAAATTTTTTTTATTCCCGACTTTTTCATAGTTTCTCATCAACAGCCAAGTATTTGAAGATATCATTGTTACAAATTTCGAACAGTAATTTCATGTAGCCTTTTTAAGCATAAATCTCTGATTTTAAAATGTTATGTTCACAAAAGCAAGATCACATTCCTTGTGGTGATTTTGAGATATTTTTATTTAGAATGTACATAAATTCATATTTTATGTATTTCCTCACAATTTGCATTTGATTTTCCACACGTTCTTTATACAGTATGAGCTCTCATGAAGCTCCTATGCCATTATGACATGCGAACACCATCATACAAATATTATCTATGAGTGCTGCCATGTCACAGAAAGAAAGTGAGAACCACTGAAACAGCAATGGATCATCCTATATTAGAAGTTTAGGTAGTTCTTGAGCTGCACAGTGCCTGAGCTGATTAATTTACTCAATGATATGGAGTGCCCACAGTCTTCCTATTTTTGACTCTGCCTTCCTCTGCCCTTCTGCTTTTGTCTTCTGTGTGTCCCTCCTGGTTGCAGGATGACTTAGCAGGTCACACCTCATATCCTCATGCAACAATATCCAAAGTTCAGAGGACAGAATGTTATCTTTTTCAGCCCACTATAGGGACAAAGAAGGACTTCATAAAAGATTCCAAGCAAACTGTCCACTGTGACTCAATAGCCAGAATGTACCCGTGGGCCTTCCCAGTAAGGGAAGCACCAATCAAATCAGTCAACTTGCTTCACTGTAGACCTCAGAAATTGATTCCTGATGACAAAACAGGAAAGGATTTTCTATAACATATGGCAGATAACCAACTGAGCAGTCTTAGCTAAAAGGAGGACCTGCCGGTGTGCATCTCATGATGTGGTGCAATACAAGTGCCTAATGCCTCCCAGGAAGCATTCTTGCAGAACCATGGTTTTGAACTTGAACCTCAGCAAGTGTCCAGATCTAACTATCAGTTTAAGGAAATCCCAGGGATAGAGGAACTAATTAAACAACACCATGGGAAAAAATTCTCCAAACCCAGGATATAGTACATTCTATGGAGCAAATGACATGGATTTTTCCAACAAATAAATGACATGAAAAAAGAAGAAGGGAGAGATTTATTATAGTAAGCGAGACTCTGGAGACTAAAAATTAAGTGTAAAAATTCGAACTTTTTGAATCAATCCAGCCAATTATAAAAAAGCTGTATTTAAGAAATCCAGGGAAATGCAAATGTGGGCTGAATATTAGATAATATTAAAAACAATTGGATGCTATTAATTACTGTGTTTCAAAGTGGCATGTAAAGTATTTATTGGTGAAATGGCATGATGCCTGGTATTTGCTTTAAAACATTCTAAGGAAACAAGTGGTGGGAGGTGTTAGGTAAAACAAGATTATTAACAGAACCATTGATAATTGTCAAAAGCTGGGGAAAAGCACCTGGGGCTCATTTCATGGTACTCTCCACTTTAGTGTAGCTTTCAAACTTTGTATAATATAATATAAAAAGTGAAACAAATGCTGGATAGCTCACAGTATTTTGGAGAGTACTCAAGAACTAGGGTCTCTGAGGAAGGGTAGGGAGCTGTGGGAAAGGAATCGCCCAACAACACAGCTTCCAAAATACACCCCAGAACTGGTTTGATGAAGAGATAGCCCCACTGGCTCTCTATTCCACTGAGCACCAGAGAAAACTGCTGTTCCTGACCCATGCCTACTCTGCACCAGGCACTTGTCTTTGAAATCACAAAGAAACTGGTACTTGCAGCTGAAAGCCACACATAACTATTCCTTTGAGCCAGCAAAAAACTGGAAACTCCACACAGAGCCCATTTTCTTATTTTTCACATCTTGCTCACATGTATTTGATGGGTGGAGACTATACTGTGATCTAGCTGCAAGGGAGTCTGAGACTTGGCACTCGGACTTATCTATTAGCAAGGCAAAATTTAGGATACTAGCATTAGCATGTCCCAATCCCCCACCCCCCCAATATAAAAAGGTCATTCAAAAGATGATGGGCAGCCATGCTCATGACAGCTATCTACTGTCTTATTAGGTTGAGATTCACCCCTTGGTCCAGAAAGGACTGAGTTTTCCCTGAAACACATGAACACCGCATACCTGATTAACATAAGGTTCTGATGTCAAGGGAGAAAAAGGTCAGGGGTACTGTGGGCAGTCAGGGGTGGCTATTGGATAGGTAACCCATAGCATATATCACAGGTGTCAATGTATCAGCATGATGCATCCCAACAAGCCCTGGTCAGGAGATTTGCTAGTTATATAGCCTTGGTTTGCTGCTTAACGTCACAGACCAAATAAGAGAGATGGTTTAAAACACTGGCCGTCTTCCTTTCTTTCTTTCCGTGCAAAGGTAGCATAATTATTTGTTCCCCGAATAGGGACTTATTTGAGTAGCCACTGTCTTCCTCCCTTTCTCCCTCCTTCCTTTCCTTCCTTCTTTCTTTCTCAGCAGAACATGCATTTCACTTTAGTTAACTTTAAATAAAACCATGATCTTCAAACAGATCCCCAGGCAAACTATTATGATAGAAGTTGAATGGGTCAGAGCCCTGGGAAGTGGAGACCCTCAGCTCCCCACACTTCCTCAGAGGAACCTTAGGGAGCTCCATAGATTTTAAAATATTGCCGGACTAGGTAATATTTTAGTTATTTCCTCCAAGTTCCTTCCAAGTATGTTATTATTCAGTTACTCCCTTTGGACCAATTTACATTCAATGCTTTGTTTTATATTAATAGAGCAAATTGTTCTTTGAAATAGAGTATAATAAACTAGGGGTCAGAATAGCTCAATTTTATGCTTCCTGACACTCTTTCCTGTGTTGACTCATTCGTCTGCCCTGTGTCTTGTTTTTTCAAGCAGTAAGATATCCAGGTCCCCAGACTGTCAGAGTGTGGACCACATCCATGCTCTGTCCAGGCCCTCAGAGTGCAAACACCTTGGGGAAGAAGCTCCATTTTGTGCAATTTCCTTCTTCACGTCTGTCAGCCTCCCAGAAAGCTCTGCTCAGAGAAGGTGCTCAGAAAATGTAGGCTAATTCACAATAGCCAAGCTATGGAACCAACCTACAAGCCCATCAACAGATGAATGAATGAATGAATGAATGAATGAATGAAGAAATTGTCGTGTATCATTCAGCTATAAAGAAGAATCATTTTATGACATTTGCTGGTAAATGGATGGATCTGGAGACTATCGTGCTAAGTGAAATAAGCCAATTCCCAAAACCCAAAGGTTGAATGTCCTCTCTGATATGTGGATGTTAACCCACAAAAAAGAGAGTGAGGAGATTAGAAGTTCAATGGATTGGACAAAAGGGAATGAAGGAAAGCGAGGGACAGGAATAGGAAAGACAGTAGAATGAACCTGACATAACTTTCCCGTGTACATGTAAGAACACACAAGAGTGTAATCTCAACATTGTATACACCCACAAGACTGGGATCTAATTAGAATAAGATGTATTCCATGTTTGTATAAATATATCAAAATAGATTCTACTGTCATATGTAACTAAAAGAACAAATAAAAAATAAAATGTTGGCTGATTATGTAGTAATATATGAACACATTTGTAATGTTCTGAGAAGCTTATGTCCTCCTAATTGTCACCACTACTTGTATGGACAAAGACTGACTGGGCAGTGGGTTCCGCCTGGCCACAAGGACAGAGGTGAGAGCCCATGGGAGGCCACCGATGCACAGAAGCATTTTAAACACTCCAGAGGGAGGCAAGCAAGCAAAACCACTACCCTTACCATCTCTCCCACCTTCTACTTTATCCCTGAGGAAACTGACTTTTAAAGTCTTTCACCTGTTTATCCAGATGATGTTTTTACTCCTCCCATCTTCCATGAACAACCCAGCATTGGTCTAGTTACAGTCAGTACAAAATAACATGGATGGATGAGATTCAAAGAAGGCTCTTCATTGCCAGTGTTGACATGGCAAGCATTTTTCTTACAAGAATCTGACCTGTCAGAAGACATTATGATGCTATGATGTCTCTTTGATGGTTCTGCCTATCATAAAAAAGGGAGTGAAGGTTAGAAAAAAACTACTTAGCATTCTCAAAGGGTAGCCCTTTCAAATACAATTAGTTTCACATAGAATTCATCTGTTCCTGCATTAGCTAAAAGACAAAGTGGCCCATCTCTCCTCTGCCTTTCAAATCACATTGTGTATTTTAGCTGAACTGCACTCTTCTCTTATAAATTATATAATTAGAAGGCAATAAATTTAAAGATCTAAGAGGAGCAGCATAAAGAAAGTGTCAAACAATGACTTACTCTAATTAATAATCATTTATGTCTCTCATTTGGTAAAGTGCTTTGCAAATGTAACCACCTTTTAGTTTAAATCATATTCCTATTGAGAGAAGAATATGATTTCGTTTGTGAGAATGCCTTTAATCAACCTGGAGCTATTTAGAACTGGAAGAGTTCCCCTCTCAAAATTATATGCTATGGAGAGTTAGTTTGTTACACACTTTAACATCTAATTTCATAGAAGTTGTTTTTTTTGCTTATTTCTAATCAGTAAAAAATTAAATAGGGAGGAAAAACCACTCACCAGGTGTACATGTACATACACACTTATTAAAACTACTATAATATTTAAAGTTATCTAATATCAGCACTATTTTTAAGTCATATCTTTACTAGTGACTTGACTTCTATGATTTATTTTTTTAAGTAACGAACTTCTCTAATTAGAACCAGCCACACAATTATTGAGTTCCAACTATGGAAAATTTCTGAAGGTATTGCCACTTATATATCTACCTTTGCTAAAGATCTGGCCAAAATTTTTGTGCACATTTAATTGTATTATTTATCTTATACTTGAGTTGAAAAAGTTCTTTATGAATTTTGGATGCAAGTCCTTTGTCATATATATGTGTGAATATATTCCTGGTATCTGTGCCATTTCTATTCAGTTTTAAAGATAGCTTTGATGAGCAAAAGTTTAATTTTTTTTCCAGTTTTTCTAACATAACTTGTTGAAAATAATTTCCTTATTGTTTGGCGTCTTTTTCAAAAATCAGATGACCTTATAAGAGTTGGTCTATTTCTTGGATCTCTATTCTTTTCCATAAATTTATTTGTACCAATATCACACTATCTTAATTACTGTTAGTTAGCTTTCTGTTACTGCAACAAATACTTGAGAAAACCAACTTATGAAGAAAGAAGGTTTATTTTGGCTCACTGTTTTAGAGGTTTTAGTCCATAATTGACTGAAGCTTTTAGCCTTTTGGCTGGGGAATAAAAAATCAGGGTAGAGCATGTGGGAGAATCAAAAACCATTTACCTCAGGGTCAAGACACAAACAAAAGAAAGAGGAAGAGACCAGGGGCCCACAATTTCTTTCAAGAACACACCTGCAATGACCTAACACTTTCCTGCACCATGGGAGGGGGAATAAGTCTTTAACACATGGGCCTTGGGGGACATTCCAAATTAAACTATAGCAATTAATTATTTTTAAAAAATCTGGAAGTCAGATACTTAAAGTTCTCTAACTTTGCTCTTTTTCAAAGGTGCTTTTAATATACTAGTTTTTAAAAATTTCCTTGTTTTAGAAGTAGTTTGTCCATTTTTGCAAAACTCCTTGTAGGATTATGATTAGAAGTGAATTGCATCAATTGATCAGCTTGGGACATTTAATATCTTAACATGGGTATCATACTAATATCATAAACATGGCATGTCTCTGCTTATTCAGACCTTTAGTTATATTCAAGATCTTCTTTTTAGTTATTCATTGCAAGTTGTACTTTTTTTTTTTTACTAAATTTATTCCTAAGAGTATGTCAAGTGTGTTTTTAGAAATTACTGGGAATGAAATTTTTAATATTTAATTTTTAATTGTGTTTTTTTTTAAATAAACACATGATCTTTATATACTGGTTAAAAAAAACCCTCTAACTTTGCTAAATTCTAAATTCTTTTTATTGGCTCTAGCAGTTGTTGATTAGTTGTTTTGTGAAGGTGATTGTGAACATTCAAGTTATCTGCTAATATCATCAATTTTACTTTTTCCTTTCTGGTCCTTAGGTCTTCTATTTCATTTCATTGCCTTAGTATACTGCCCTCAGCCTCCAGTAATATGTGGATTCATTTTTAAGACCAAACATCCTTGCACTGTTGCTGATGTTAGGAGATAGTTCTTAATACTTCAACATCAGGTATGAGACTCCATATAGGTTATTGTGTAAGTGCCTTTATCTGGTTAAGGAAGTTCCCTTCTGCTGTGGTTTGGATCTGGGGTGTTGCCAGAATACTCCTGTGTGAATGCAGGAATGTTCAAGGGTGAAATGATTGGGTCCTGAAAGCCATATTTTACTCTAAACTAGAATGGACTGACTGGGTGTTATCTGTAGGCAGGAGGGGCTGGCTGGAGGAGGGGGGTCTAGGGTCATGACCTGGAGGGTGCATCTGTCCCATGGCCCCACCCCTCTCTCTTGGCTTCCTGGCTGCCATGAATGTGCTCCTCTACCATACCCTTCTGCCATGATGGGCTGCTTCATCTTGGGTCCAGAGCAATAATGTCAATCATACAGAGACAGATACCTCTAAAACCATAAGCCCCAAATAATTTTTTCTTCCTCTTGTTGACTATTTTGGTTAAGTAATGAAAAGCTGACTAAAATGCCTTCTATTTATCACTAATTTTCTCAGAGTTGCATTTTTCATGAATGAATGTGACTTTTATCAGATGTTTTCTTCTGCATCTATTGATGAATTTTTCTCCTTTACTTCGATGAATTACATTGATTTAAAAGATCAAAACCACCTTTGAGCCCTAGGATGAACTCAACTTGATCATAATTTATTATTATTTGTATATTGCTGAATTAACTCTGCCAGTATGTTATTGGTCAGTAATTTCATTTTATTTCTGGTGGTTTTCTTTTTAAATCAGGATATGCTGGTCTCATAAAACAAGTTCTTATACTTTAATCTAAGATTGGTGTGATTTCTACCTTAAACATTTAATAAGAATTCATCAATAAAACTATCTGGGCCTGGATTTTCTTTTGTGTACAGATTTCAAATAAAAATTCAACTTCTTTAATATAAACAAGGCTATTGAAATTTTCTATCTTATCTTTTGTCAGTTTAGGAAAGTTGTATTTCTTAAGAAGAGTTTTTTATTCTAATTCATCAAATTTGTTGCTAAATTTTCTCTGAAATAATCTTTTTTATTCTTTTCATGTCCATCAGCTCTCTATTGGGATTCCCTGTTTGGTTCCTGATATTCATAATTTGTGTTCTTTCTTGTATTCTTGACCACTTTGTCTACAGTTTTATCGATCATAGGAGGCTGAGAAGATAGATGATGCCTAAATCATAGAGTGTTAGCTTACAGGTGGGCTAAGGACTGACATGGACTGCTTCCTAGAACATTCTACCAGAAGGTCCTATATTGAAACATTTGTCAACTGTAAAATCATTCAGTTGCTTCATTATTTCACAAAACATGCCCATTTACTTTTGATAGATAAAAACACATAATACATATATTATGTGATTTTTAAAAAATCAATTTGGCCAAAATCTATCAGTATAACATGAGGATTAGGAGAATATCCTAATAGGAAAAAGCCTTGTCTCTGGAAATCAGATGGACTGTGTTCAAATCCTCGCTATAGTGCCTGCTAGTTGGGGATTAAATAATTAACCATTTTTTCCCAAGCATCTAATGTTAGGATTAAATACAATAATATATTTAAAATATTAAATGCTATTATTGACTCAATGTGTTCAAAGTACTAGTCTGGTCAGATTTAATCTTAGCTGACAAAGTTTGGCATATTTGTCGGTTAGAGTCTTGGGAGTCTTTACTTCCTGACCTAAACTCTGTAAAATGCTTCTTTCTCAGCATTATTTTCACAGTATTGTAGTTGTACATTATAAATTACCTCCAGAGAAACTTTGGACACCAAACAGGGTGTGTCCCATGTTGAGTGAAGTGATTTCTGCCCTATTTTCATTCGCATGGCTCCTCTGGTGCTCTGTGGGGGTGAAGGAGCACCTTCATCACAACTTTTCCCATATGTTCTTGAGAATTATCTAACCACGACCAAAAAAGAAGAGGAAAAAAAAAAAAACATTAAAGTATAACCCCAAGCAAACAGGAAACTGCCTTTTTCTTTTGGGAACTTAGTCAAAAGCCAACTTTTGTGGTTTATGTGAAGGTTCCTCCCACAAAGTTCAGAAATTCGTGTTACATTTTCAGTCTCTTATTTTCCTCTTTTTTTCTAGGCTACCTGCAAAGATACCATCTCTTCTCTTACCTTGTAGAAAGTCACTGTGGAGATAACTGCACAGATTTTTTTTTAAATGTTCTTTTTTCTTCTTCTTTCAAAACATTTTTTTTTTTGGTTTGTTTTAATTTTGAGATGCAGATAATCCCATAGAAACACCAGACAGCTTCATTAGCTTCAGGCAACTATAAATAATTTCTCCGTCCACAACCAAATACAGGTCCCTGGCACATTATTTATATAGCCTATTAATCATTATTCAGTCAAGAGGAAAGT